TTGTTCAGAAGAAGCCTCAGTATTCTTAATAGGAACCAGTGGGAAGATGAAGACATATCAGGAAATCAGTATGGGTTAATAAAGAGGGAGAGATGAAGTTTCAACCTGACCAAAAAACAGCAGAGAAGGAGATAAACATAAATACAGAAACACAGAGATAAAGACACCAAGAAGATAGTTCTCTGCTCCTGGTCCAATGGTTATACGGAGTTCAGATATGCTTAGACAAACTTTGGCACCAATGTCATCCAATCGCAAAGGATCTAGTAATACAGGAAACTTAGTCAGTGGGTGATACTTGAAAAAAAGATTAGTAGTTTGTGAGCATTTCTTGTAGCAGGACCTTAAAGGGGGACCTAGGACCTAGTTAGCATTGGAACTGGTGAAAGAAAAAAAACAACTCCAAATCAGGCCTGGGGAGGTAGCTTAAGTGGTAGAGCACATAATTCTCATAAGCATAATCCTGAGTTCTATTCCTGGCCTTTCATTCCACCCCCCTGCTCCACCCTGGTACTGCTTGGTGTAGCCCTGGGTCCCTGATCACCACCAGGTTGAGATGTGTGTGTGTGTGTGTGTGTGCGTGTGTGTGTGTGCGTGTGCGTGTGTGTGTGTTTGTGTGTATGTTTGCACACACATACACACACAAATCCTAATCAAGCTTATACTTTCTCAATGTTGGATGAAGCTTTGGGAAAGGCCACAGTTTCCATTAGGAAGGGAAAATAAAGATGTCCAATGGGGAAAACATTAACAAAGGATAATAGATGAGGGAGTGGCAGTTGGAAAAAAAATCTACCGTAGTCCAGAGCTCTTACTCGGCTTTTCATATTTGCAGCCAGAGTATAACACAATTGTTATGAGTGGGAGTTGATGAGATGCTTGACTCTTGGTCAGAGTTGGCTCATAAGTGTGGATGGGCGCCTGAAATAGATACAAGGAACCGCAACTCTGTGGAGTAAATGAAGACAACGGGAAGGAAAATGAGGCAGGAGCAAATCACTATGACTGTACCGAAACATTAAATCTCTGTGTTATCCAGGATTCAAACTGTTCATAAAAGCATTACCACTCCTTCCCCTCCAAAAAATATCCTTCACAAAACCAAAACAACAACCAGCCTCCCTACCCCCAAATTTTAATCTCTTCTGTTGATCACAAATGGCACATTTTGGGATAGTCCAATTTGTTTCAAAGTGGCCTTTCCTGATTAATATCCTGAAGAACCTGCACCTTTCCTTTTAATTATAGCTGGTATACTCTTCACACAAAGTATTCCTTTGAGGAGGGATTGAATTGTATCTCTCCTAAATTCATGTTTATGTCAGAATGCCTAATGTGTTGGTCTTTTGAAATGTGGCTTTTAGAGAAAATCAGATTTAGATGAAGTCTTGGGAGTGGGGCACTCAGGCTGAGATTAGTGTCTTTTTGAAAAAGAGAGATGGAGATCGAGATTGAGAGATTGAGATCACAGACACAAACAAAAGGCCATATCTACAAACCACAAAAAAGGCAGCCAGTCTTCTGAAAACTAAGAAGGAAACTCTCACCAGAACCAAACTTGTGCCTTGACCACAGAGGCCCGACCTCCAGAACTGTGAGAAAACAAAATTTCTCATGTTTTCAGCTACCTAGTCTGTGGTAATTTTTTTCTTTTCTTTTCTTTCTTTTCCTTCTATTTTTGCTTTCATTGATTATTTTTGCCCAAATTGACTAAGACCAGGAGTCCTAAAGATGTAATTTTGTTAAACATTACTGCAGATGATGATTAAATAAAGTCTCAAAAAAGTTTTGTGATTCCTGTGTTTTCACTTTTCCATCTACATAAAACTAAAAGGAACCTTTTAAGGATGCATAAACCATTGTGTTGACCCTTTCTAGCTGTACTCATGTAACAATCTGAAGGAAAGGTTGCTAAGTGACAGCTTCCCCCAAACCTGACCTAGCTGCTGAGTGTGACTGGCTTTCTCCCAGAATCCTTCCGTTCCCTCCCCCTGACTGAGGTATTGACTAGGGAAGAGGTTATTTCCCAGGTCTTAGTAAAATTCACTGGTAAAATAAACTCTGATCCCAGGTTACCTGGTTCCTATGACCACTGCTCATTTTCTGTCCTTATTTCTATTGACTATTAACTGTTTCTAAATTACTTCTTTTCTCTAGGTAAGTCTACCTTAATAACACTGAAAAAGTAAGCATGCAGCTTGGCATTGCCCGAGGTCTCACTCTACATCAACTACTAAGTAACTCTGCTAGGTTTATTCTTGCAATTAGACCATTTGGAAGAAAATGTTCCTCAGTTTCTGTATCTCAATTTCATAATTTTGCTTTACATAGTTCATAGGTGGTCATTTCCTAGCATCCTGGGCAAATCATTTAACTTTTTTGGAATTAACTGTCCCTGTTTAATTTTTTTTTTTAATTTTATTTTTTTGAGCCACATCTACTGGTGCCCAGGCCTTACTCTTGGCTCTGCACTCAGGGATCATTCTGGCAGGGTTCACGGGAATATGGGGTGCTGGGGATTGAATGCAGGTTGACTATGTTCAAGGCAAGTACCCTCCCTACTATACTATCTCTCTAACCCTATCTGTCCATATTTTTAAACAGGGAAAAATACAATAATGCTATCTTATTTCAGACAGCTGTTTTCAGAATCAGATGATATAGTAAAACTAGAGTTTACACAAATGATTCTTTTATTTCAGTGTTGGAAAATATCTGCCTGTTTTAGCTGAGATTGACCACACAGTTGATATACAGCACCAAGTAAAGTACGAGATGAATAATCTTTGTGACCTATTTTTATTTTGGGGTATGTTTTGGTCAGTTTGTGCCAAAGAAATTTGGCTTGGAAATATTATTCTAATAATGTGATCAAAGGGTGGTGTGAGAGCTATTTTACAGGACAAATCTATATGCTAGCACTCTACGGTTTTCAATAGTACACTGGAAAGAATGCTTTCTTTTCATGTCCTATAAGTCCTTATGTTAAGAAGCATTATTTTGTGAAAAAATAAAGCTGGCCAGTTTCCCTTTTCTGTAAGCAACAAAGGTTCTCGTGGAAGAAGGAAATGGGAGTTTTTCTGCTTGAAACTAAAGGCTATATTCTCTTTACTGTGTGTATGTGTCTTAGTGGGGCTGGAAAAAGAGGTGAGCATACGGAGGAATGAGTGGAAGAGCCAGAAAAACAAAGACTCAAAGGGATCCTTTGGAGCATGTGTGCTATCTCAGATATAAAACTACAGGAACCCAGAAATACTGCTTTCTTTTTCTCTCCTCAAACTGGCTTTCATAATATTTTTCTCTTAAGAAATTCTCGGTAGAGTAAGAATGAAGTCAATTTTTTGTTGTTGTTGTTTTTTGGGCCACACCCAGTGATGCTCAGGAGTTAAAATAAAAATTTTAATCTCTTGTTTGATTCTGGAATAGATCGGAAACTTTGGGATGTGTCACTTGATTAGGCAAATGTGAGTATGCACAAATCTTTTGAGCCTCTAACAGAATGATTGCCACGCAATGTTCCTATTGTCACTTATTAACTTCTTTTTGGAAAGTGCCTGAGATAAGAGATTTAATAAAAAAGGCATTAATGTACCACATAAAAATATGTTAATGAACTACAAAAACAAAAACAGTATTATTCATACTAAGAACCTATACCTCTAAGTGTTACATGTCAACAACATCATCAGGGGGCTGAAGTGATATAGTCTAGCGGGTGGGGCACACTTGCCTAGCATGTAGTCTATAGGGATTTGACACCTGACACTTTACATGGTCCCTGAGCTCTAGCCCATAGCATAGATTCCTGAGTGCAGAGCCAGGAGTAAGCCCTGCGTACAGCCAGCTGTGGCTCCAAACAAACAAAAAATCCAGCATTTTCAGTCTATGTAGCGTGGAAGAATGAGTCAAAGCCTCTCCTTTTACTTAATTTTACTTAGGTACATTTGATTAACTGGAGCTTCTTGTTTTGTGTGTACAAATGAGAGGACACAAGTGCCTTGATACAGTGTATCAAAAGTATAAACATATTTGCTAAATGAAGAGTAAACAGCTACAGGAGGATGTCTTTGTGTCTACCTTAAAGTCTGACTTCTAAAAGGACTTTAGTCACAGCGAATATTATTACAATGAAAAATGTCTAGTTTGAAAGGCCTCTAGCTACATCCTTCGGGGTGGCCTGATGATGTTCATAGGGGGTCTTCTAAAGTTATGTATCTTCATCTCAGTAACTCAGCTACCAGAGGTAGAATGTAATCTTCTCTCTTTTCGGAGGGGACTGGAAGGCAAGAGCAGAAAACACTGGATCTGGATAGACTTTACAAGGGAGGACTTGAGCCATGTGTAGTCTCTCAAATTCAAGACATTCGTGAGAAACATGGAGAGACTCGCTACCAACATGTTAAGAGTGACGCGGGTTACCTGAGCTCTTAAGCGGAGTTCTCTATATAGACAGCAAAGGAGAGGAAAATGTGAGCCACAATTTCCAAGCAGCTGATTCCCTGATATAGCACTGGGGTTACAAAAAGAAAAAAAAAGAGGGAGGCTGGGGGGAAATGTCAATCCAGTGATATCACTCCCTTAGGCCTGGCCCTAAAATTCTTTGGCACCTGGAGGGCTATGCTCAGCATGCTCAGGAAAGCCTTAGTACCCGGACTTGGCACCGTGGCGCCTTCGGGCTCTTTGCTCACTTTAAGCCGCGGGATTCGCAGCAGGTCGCCTCAAGGAGGAGAGCGTCTACTTCCAGTGCTCTCCACAAACCTCCCCAAGCGTCTCCTCCCAGGGCCGCACCCGGGGAAAACACACCCGTCTGCACAATTACTCCACGGTCTCCCTCACGCACCGCTGGCGCGGAGGTGGGGAGGTAGGCGTGGCTTTGGCCTTTCTAGGACTTCCCAGCCAATGAGCGCGTCTCATCCCTTCCGGTCGGCGAGCCGACCAATCGCGGCCCGCCGGTGTCATCTTCGGCTCTCCTCGGCTCTTTCCGCCGATGCGGGCGGCCGGGGGCCTCCGCCGCGGGAGAGACGCTTTCCTTTTTTATTTTTTTTTTCCATGTGTTCACTTCCGGGTCCGGCGCCGCTCCGGATGCCCGAGGCAGAAGGATGTTTGACCTCCGGATAAGCGAGGCGCCGCTGTGCATTCATTCCCGGCGGCATCGGCGGCCACAGCAGCGGGTCGGGCGGCGACTCCCGGGCCAGAGGCGGCGGTAGGAAGGCACCGGCAGCCCTGCCGGGGAGCGCGTCGGAGCCGAGCCGCCTTCCCTTCACTCTCGCTCGTTCCTTTCCACCCCCCCGCCCCCCCCCCCCCCCGCCTCGCTCGCTCCCTCCCTGCGTGGCTCGCTTTCCTCCTCCGGCCGCCGGCGGGTGTGATGTGCCGCCGCCGCCGCTGCTGCCCCCGCCGCCGCCGCTGACTGGACGGAGCGCGGTGGGGTGGGCTGCGGGGGCTCCGCCCGCCCCCGGGACCGACCCCGCTGCCCGCGCGGCCGCGCCTCTGAGGTAAAAGCCTTCTCCGCCCCGGGGCGCCCCGGCCCGGCCCCCCGGCTCGTCCGCGGCCGCCTCGCTCTCCCTCCTTCCCGGGTGGGGCCGCGAGGGCCGTGCGGGGTGGGGGCTGGGGGGGGTCCCGGCTGGGTCGGGTCCGGTGTGTGTGTGTGTGGGGGGGCGGCGCCGCGCCGGGGGGCCGCGGGGGAGGGGCGGGCGCCGCGCGGGCGGGCGGGGGCCGCCGCGGGCTCGGGGGGCGGCGAGGGGGCCGCTGGTGGCCCGGCGGCAGAAGTTGCCCGAGTGGGGCGGCCCGAGGGGCTCCGGGCGGGCGGGGGGAGGCGCCCTGGAGGGGCTCGGAGGTCGGGGCTGCGGCGCGACGCGCGCCCCGGCCGGGCTCTCGGTCCCTTCCCGGGCTGCAGGGGCGCGGGGAGCTTTGGGTGGGCTGCGGGCCGAGGACGCGGGCCCGTGCGGGGGGAGGCGGCGTTGGTCTCTCGGGGGGAACTTCCTTGAGGGTTGTTTGTTCGAGGGCGGCGGGGTGGGGGTGGGGGGGCCGGGATTTACCTATCGGGTAGCGCTTTTCAGCCGCGGCTCCAAACTTACCGCGGCATCCGGCGGGGCCGGGGCCCATCGCTCCTGGTGACGGTTGCGGGGCGGCTGGGTTTGTTTCTCGCACCTGGCGGGGACGCGCCGCGTCTCGGCGGGCCCCTCGGCCCTGGGCCGCGGGGTGCTGATGAGGCCGAGTGTGCGGCGGGGGGCTGCGGGCACGGAGGCCGGGCTTCCCCCCGGGGGCCCCGCAGAGAAGTTGGTGCTGGGAGAGGCACAACGTGGGCGGTGGGGGGGGGGGGGGCGAAACGGGGGACGCGGGGCGCAGGGGTTTCAACTGTGTTGTCTTAAGTTTGAAGCTTCGTCTGTAAGGGACCCCCCCCCCCCCCCCACACACACACACTTTATTTTTAACCTTGTGATAACACATCGACTTGGGCAATTAGAAGCCGTCTTTTAATTTTAACTTTGGTTTAATGTTGCGTGTGGGTTTTTTTTTTTTAAAAACAAGGTTAGAAAAGCGGTCAATATTGTTATTATTTTTTTCACTTTGGCAATTGTTTGCCATCCGATGGATGACGTTTCCGTCTCAGGTTGTCGGAGGGTTTGAAGCAAATCTAAGGCGGAGTCCTTTCCAAATAAGACATTGTTTAACTTTTACAACCAGGTATGTAAGTTTTGGAGGATTGGTAATTTTTTAATTTATTTTCTCTTCCCTCCCCTCCCCTCCCCCACTTCACCCCCAAAATTAAACAGGCGAGGGGGTTGTGGAAGGAAAAGTTGACAGAAATTAGAGTCATTTTGGAATTAGAAGCTCTGAAACCAGTTTAAGCACATATTTCTAGTATAAATATAGCTGGTCTACTTGGTCACATTCTCAGTAAATCTTTTATTGGTGATGGTGGTGGTGGTGGGGGGGGGGGGTTGTTGCTGGTAGGAAATGTGTACTCAGTGCATTTTATGCTTACTCCCAAACTTTGCTCTGGGTCTTATGTGAACTAAAATAAGTTACCTTCATATTTTGTATATGTTACTCATTACAGTTGCAGGAGAGATGAAAATCATTGGATGACATTATCAGATACAATTCATGGCTTTGTATAGATACTCCACTTTGGGGAGTTTGCATTGTGCATCAGGTACAAGTAGTTCTTAGTAGCATAGAAAGGTTAGTGTTGCTGTGTCTGAGACTTTTGGGGGTTTTGGGAAATAGTTTTTTGTATTAGTAAGTTGTGTTCACTGACCAGCTTCATGCATCAGGTAATAATTGAAATTTTCATCATTATATTTATAAGAATTGACACAGTCTTCAACACATGAAGTTGTTCGTTTAATCAAGGAATAGTTTAGACCACCAGTGTTTCTAAACGTCTTTCTAGCTGCGGCCCTTACCTGTGCCTCCTTTGTTTGAGAAATGCTGGTTTAGTCATTCGGGACCTTTACTGTGCAAAATGGACCTTTGGTATGTGGTGGAGATGAAAGAGTGGGTAGAGTAAGATGAACATCTGAGACCCAGTGGCTACTGTCAAGGGAGGAGAAGACACATACAGAAATAATTGCAGCGCAGCACAGGAGTCCTGTGGACTTTATTAGATGTACATGGAAGCTTGTTGGGGGGGTGGGGAGGAGAGGGACAGAGAAGGAACTTTTTTTGACTGGGGAAATTATGAATGACTTAGAGCTGGTTCCCCTAGTTAGCACTTTTGCCTCGAACTTAAAAATATTTTTGTGTCACACCTGGCAGTACTCAGGGCTTACTCCTGATTCAGTGCTCAGGGATCACTCCTGGTGGGGCTGAAGGGGGCTGGGAGCTTATGGGCTGCCAGGGATCCAGCCCCCATACATGACAAGCAAGGCGTGTACCTTCCTTACCTGCTGTACTCTCTGGCCCAATTTAAAATGTTTTAATGGATAAAATGGGCAGGGGAAGGGTAGTTTGCTAGGTCAGGGGAGAAGCCTAAGTATAGAGGTTGTGGTTGTGTTATGGGACTTTGGGGCCTGACTTGGGGCTGCTGTTGTGAGGAGGCCTGACTGGGAGAGGAAGCTGTGGACACTGGAAGGAGTCAGGTCCTTGGAGTCCAGAATGCCTGTGTTTGAATGAGTCAGTTCCTTGTGTGAAGGTCTAAGTGTAGATGCTATGCTGATAGGGAGGCATATGTGGATTTTAAGTTTGAAGAAACAAATGATAACAGAGGAGTCAATTTGTTATCACTTATGCTAATAAGGTAAAGAAAAAGACATTGACTTTGATGTATTTCTTTATTTGCTTTTGAATGGGTGTGTCAGGTTATCTGGTAATTGATTTTATGTTAAATAAATCCAGACTATAAAACTCAGGGGTTTGAGTGATAGCACAGCTGATAGGGCGTTTACCTTGCTCAAGGCCGATCCGGGTTCGATTCCGCTGTCCCTCTCGGAGAACCCGGCAAGCTACTGAGAGTATCCCGCTTGCACGGCAGAGCCTGGCAAGCTCCCCGTGGTTTATTCGATATGCCAAAGACAGTAACAAGTCTCACAATAGAGACGTTACTGGTGCCGGCTCAAGCAAATAGATGGACAACAGGAGGACAGTGCTATAGTGCTGTAAAACTCAGCAAGAAATGGGAAGCTCTCCATTTGCTTTCTCTGTGACCCGTCATCCATCCTGTAAACACAGACAACACTGGGAATAGACCTTTATTCTGATGTAGATCACGTAGTTTATTCGTTTGTAAGATTTTTCTTACAGAGGGAAATATGGGGCTGTTCAGATTCAAGGAACTTCTAGATTAAACTAAATAGAGGATAAGGTTTTCATTTTGTTTTATTCTCCCATCCCCCACAGGGTGTGTGTGTGGTGGGGGGAAGAGTGGATAAATTATGGATAAAATAAAATGTAAGAAATTGTAATACAAAAAGAAAATAAACTGTGGGTTGATAAAATGAGAAGCTTCAACAGATCCTAGATAAATACAAGAATTTTAGTCATGCATCAGATGGTACTAAAAGAATTTACCAGAAACTTAATCATTATTAAAGGAGTTTTTAAAAGAATAGCACCTTCACAACATCAGTGCTTAAGTCTTTGTAAAATCACATTACAGAAAGTTTCATTGTTTTTACTAACTGCTCCCCTTCTGCTGTTCAAAAAAAAAAAAAGTAGGGGCTGGAGAGGTAGTATTCTTACCTTGCCTGCAGTCAGCCCTGGTTTGATTTCTGACACTACTTATGGTCCCTCTGGCACTGCCAGGAGTGACCTTCGAACACAGAGCTAGGACTAAAGCCAGAGAATTGCTGGGGGTGTGACCCCTCAATCCCCAAACTTTATTATAATTAAAGTTGTTACCTTGAATCTCCTACAATATCTGATGCATTTTATTAAGTGCTTATTTGTTAGGGAGTCATAAATATACTCTTCTGAGAACTCTGTGAAATAGTGTTACCTTCATTTTTATGGGGGAGTTTCCCAAGCAGTTTTCAGGGGGTACTACTCCTGTGATACTACTGGGCCTGACCCTATAGGCCTGCTAGTTCACTGTTCTGACCCAGCCATACTTGGTGCCACCAAGGGCCACCGTGCTGTTTGGAGGTTCATGTGGTTCCAGGGGTTGGTTGAGTTTAGGGCCTAGTGCATCAAGGCATGTAATCTAACCCTGTGAACTATATCCCCAGCTTCATAATCTTCCCTTTTAAGGATAAGAAGCAGAATAAATTAAAGAATTAAAGAAGCTTTTTTAAGATGTTTTGAAGTAGCAGAGTGACTTTAAAAAATTTTTTTACTGACTTCGAAGTCTTAAAATCACCTCTGACGTCTTTTTCAGTCTTCCATTATCTTCCTTTTTTGTCTTTTCTCAAGCAGCTGGCACTTAGAGGTATTGATTGGTGGTGTTAATATGAGTCTGGGTGTTGGTTCAAGATGTAATTTCTTTGGAAATTGCAGTTTTGGGCTGACTATCTGTATTTCTCTTAATTGTAGGCATTCTGTTAGGAGTCCCTGGTATAGTTATGGTAGCTTAAACCACCTCAGGACCTCGCTATTTTGATCTATAGGACAAACCATACTTAGGATTTTAATGTATAGAAATAAGAGTGTTTATTATTCATTCATGTGAATTTACATTGGCTAGCTTCTGAACTATTTAAAAAATAAGGAATGAGGAAATTGTGGGGATAAATTTTAGAAACACAATAGAGGTTGTTAGCGATTATTTTTATTTGCTTTTTTTGGTGATGCAACACCTGGTAATGCTTGGGGGCTCCTGGCATAGTGCTCAGGGTTCACTCTGGGGCCACAGTAGACTACATACAGTGCTGGAGATCAGACCTGAGACTCCAGCATGCAAAGCATGGCCTGTTGAGCTATCTTCCCCTTTACTAGTCATAATTTTTTTTCCGCAATTACTTTCTTGATGGGCTGAAGCGATAGCACAGCGGGTAGGGTTTTTGTCTTGCACGCGGTCGATCCAGGTTTGATTTCTCCGCCCCTCTTGGAAAGC